ATCTCCCTTTTCATGAAGTGGTATTGTAATGGAGTTTTCAAAGGTGTCTTCCCAAATGCACCTAGTAGCCGGAAAACGCTCTCCTGGTTTACTCAGGTAACCTGTAACTAAAGGATCGGAATGTGCAGCTCTGGAATCTTATCATCTATCCATATATTCTTCTATTTATCCTTGCATCTATGCATATACACATCTAGCCTACTATCCGTCCATCCATCTACCCATTTATCCATCTATCTATCCTTTTATTCATCTCTCAAGTTATCCTTCTATCTATCTAGCCAGCAATTCATCTTTATTTCCACTGGAAAGCCTTCCACCGAGCGGTAGGAGACTCGTACCGGATTCTTACCGACTGAAAACCTCTTCTCCTCCTCAACGCTTTCTCCCACCGGAATCGCTTTCGCATTACTTCAATGGGAGGTGCTGTCTTATGGACTGGCTTGTGCCTATTCTATAAGGTTCGATTTTCATTATCTTTATTCTCTATTATGAATCGAATTGCTCGATAAGGGATACTCCAGCTCTCTTCATTGACAATGAGTTGCCTTATTATATTCTCTGCTACGAAAGGTTCCCTTGCAAGCTCCATCAATCCACGCCGAATATATTCCCACCTTACACAGTGAAACAATGTATGTTCTACGTCTTCCTGGAAGCCACAATATGGGCATCCATTGGATTCCATTTTTACTCCAATTTTCATTCCTATTCACTTCTCTGTGTGTCCTCTCTGTCCAATCTTGTATATTTGGTATCAAGTTTACTTTCCATAACTACTACTATCCCGTTTGGCTTGCCATCTAGTTGCTGGACTATCCTTGGTTATGCTTTTAGCGTTTCTCTTATGAGAAATTCAATGAGAGGAACTTCAGCCATCGCATCCACCGCTTCTGCTGATTCAGTTTTGTAAGCACAGCAAATTCTTAAGGTCATTTTCTTTTGCAGACTTGTGAGTTTCGACAGTAGTTTTTTGTTTTCCACAACTGTATGCTAAGCAGGTGATAGATATAAAATCTGAGTGGGCCACAGTCAGAAGTACCCTTCTTTCGAAGGAACGGGGTCCGTCTACATTCGGAAGGAGACCTGGAAGAGTTGTTACCAGCAATCCATCTATCGATCTATATATCCATCTATCATTCTATACATTCTCTTACTTATCGTTTCGCCAATGCTTGCTTGAATATGTCTACCTTTCATGCTTTCTAGAATTCGTCGCGACGTTTATCATCTCTACAGAAATATGTCGAAACTAGACAAGAAAGTATTGTTGTAAATCATGCCCGAAAGAAAATAACCCCGGCCGCCGCTGATAGCCATAAACCAGGCGTGACGTGGCTAAGAGGGCGCAAGTGCACGATGATTCCTCGCCAATCGAGAAGCAACGAGAATAATACTACCGACTTCGGCAGAACTTCTGAGAAATTTCGACAATATTTGATTACGATATTTAAAGGCTAGCCTCGAGGATATCGAGACAGTCAAGCAGACAGTAAGTGGAAGCTACAGTGCGGTACGCGAAGTGATCTAGTAAGGCGATAGACATTCAAATAATAGTTGAAGTTTTAGTTGAAGTGTTTGTTGTATTCAAAGTGAAATAAAGTTAATTTTGATTATTCAGTGTAGTCAATTATTGGTCAACCCACGGGAAATTGCCACACTCAAGGCCAAAGAGCTCATACAACAACAAGAAGAAAAATGACACACTGTACATACTCGGCTCTTTTGTGATTACTTAGATGGGAGACATCAAATCAACATGCACTTTTTATTTTTTTATGGTAATTTGAAGAATATTCAATTAAACCATAATTTTATTTTTCTGAGAATCATTAACAACGACAAAATTGCTTTTCACACCTCATTTGATAATAATATGTATGCATCAACTTTAAAGGAAATCTTTCACGACTCGATGATCGTCTCCTTTTATTCCTTCAAATGATAAGTTTTAGTTAGGTGTTGATTCAATTCTGCTATTTTTTCAAAATCCTTAAAAGGAATAGTACCATATTACTGAAAATATCGACAAAGCTCATAAAACCTATTTTTTTTCTTTTGAGAAGTCGAACGAAACACGCCAAAATAGTTATTTCCGTAATTGTTATAGTTCAGGAATTATTTTTCAGAATGTTCAGGTCGTATTATTCATGTTATTGGTTCAAAATATAAATTGAAGAATATTTCATATAGAAACAAGTTGAAACTTCTAGTGTTTGAACTCCAGTAGATGGGCTGTGAAAGTTCTGGGTCCCATAAGGGAAAAATCATATTTTGTATTCGAATACTTAAATATATCCAAATTTCACTCTCAACTGTACGTTTGGTCGTAATTACTTCGACAAAATTCATGATGATACCAATTCTATTAAATTCCTTCTATTTATTATATGCGAGCGCTTTCGACAGCCAGTCGTGCTATCATCTTCAAGCCTCTACTCAAACTGAACGTTGCAGTCTCTTGTTTTTTCTTTTATGCGGTCAGAACGCCTTAATGCAGGTAATGCTCGGACTGCAACAAACCAAGAAAAAGCTGATTCCAAAGTACAACGAGCACAAAAAGGCATACATAAACCCAACAATATATAAATCAAACCTCGCAACACACGCCATACAAAACAAACGTAACTTTCCCCCACCAGAGAACATGAAACTCATAAAACAAGTCAATAAAGGACATCGGGGAAAACTTGAACATCCCTAAATTTCACAGTCATAATTGACTTATCGAGGAACAAGTATAAATCAAAACACAACAAGACCTAACATTCAATATACTACACAAAACAATACACACTCCTAGAAACAGTAAACCTAGAGAAGATCCAACACAAAGAATATTACCTGGTGTAACCCAAATACAGGCAAATTTACCTAATATTGCAAACCAAACACCAACGGAAATTCAACGTGAATGTTTGGGATGGTATCATAGGAAACCATCTTATAGGAACTATTTGTTCTATATGACCGATCGAATGGCGAACGTTCTGGAGTTCCTTCAGAACGATTTGAATGAACTTTTAGAACATGTTCCATTGCAAACCCGAAGAGATATGTGGTTTATGCGCTCCTCCTCATTTCAGTTAGATTGTGTGGGACCATCTGAACCACACTTTCCACAATAGGTGGATTGATAGAGGTGGACCATATGCATGACCACCGCGGTCCCCATTGGGTTTTTTCTGTAGGGGCATCTTTATTGCCTTGTTAACGCTACGCCTATTCACACAAGAGATACCTTGTTGAATAGAATAACATCACATAGTGAAGCCATACGAAACTACCCTGGAATGCTATTTCAAGTAGAGAGATGTTACTTTGCAGACTAAGAAAATGTATTGAGAGAGAAGGGGGTCATATCGAGCATTTTTTGTAGTGGATTTATCATTTCTTTATGCTCTTGAGGCTTGTGATTGATATTTACACCATGAGTTTTGATAGGTTAACGTGTTGGCATCATACACATTCGTTATGAACATTTCACCTATCATTTAGTTTTTCATTCAAAATTAATTATTTCGAATAATGGAAGATATCTCAGGTTGGATGTCGTCGAACAAAAGTGCACTTTCATCAAAAATCGTTGCTCTGATCGATTTTCCACACGAATACTTCCATTCAGAAAATTGCCTGGGTAACCTGATTTTCTTGAAAAGTATCTGTCATGTCAACAAAGTTTTGGGGTGTGGACCACCGGGGGTTGTCATTTCCTGACTTTTTAGAAAAACAACTGACTCCTGCATGAAAGTTCATCAAAGCAATTCATTTGTTTGGTCAATCACCAAAATTTGGTTGAATTTGAATATTCACTTGAAAAGTTATCAAAGAAAAACATTTTTCATTTTGTAACTTCGAGGGCCCGTAACTTGGTTACGAAGACTTTTAGGAAAAAAATTATATGAAGTACTGGTAATATTTTGAACCCATGTGTCTATACATTTCCGAGTGTCCAAGGACACTGTGTAATATATTTTTTCGCCAGCAGCTTCATCGGACCAGAGCCTGTCATTGGCAATGCTTTAGGCTTTGCCAAACAAAGATTAAACATCTCGATGGCAAGAAGATTTATGGACTTCTGGCAGAATCTTCTAGGATTGGCTCACTCCAAGGAGTTTATTCACCCTTCGAAGTACGGATGAACTACGATGTCTTACAGGCCTTCTTACAGGTCACTCTCATTTGAATTATCATATGTAGAGACGCGGACTGTCGGAAGACAGTGTGTGTCGCCTCTGTTTAGAACATGATGAAACAGCAGACTACATACTCTGTGCTTATTCGGCCGAGTATGAATAGGTAACCTAGATCTTGAGTGAATCCTTTCTATTCTATTCTCAATGAGACTCAACTCATTCGGGTATAAACAATAACGCGCCCTGTCCAAAACAATGACAAAGAAAACTATGTTCGAAAGCATTACAATAAAATAATTTTATTAAAACAGGAAACAGTTATGAAATAATCTTGAAATAGTTTTATAAAGAGCATACAAACTTCACAGAAAAGTGCTGTGAAGCTGCTACAAAACAATTTCCTTTAATAGGAAAATATGTTTTATAAGTTAGTTGTGGAAACATTTCTATGATAATTTCGTGACTATTTATAACAGATTTTTAATTTTATTTTATAAACGTTTCTATGACAAATTTATAAAACACTTTTATTGCCTACAACTGTATTATGTTCCTGCCTTGTCTATATATAATCAATTAGCATTTTGAAAGTAATTATAAAATACCAACAAAATAAAACTTTTGCAGCACCATGAAATTATAAAACAATTTTGCTGGTGGGAGGTGTTAAAAAAACAGTTTGGTGTTGGGATAAAACTCCAGTAAAATATCATTTTCTTTTTGTATAACAAAAAAAAATTTCTATATATTGTTTTAAAAAAAGCTGCCAATTATTGCTTATTCAAGTTGAAAAAAATTATGTATCATGTAAAATGGAAAATGAAGTTGCCATTGTTATTATTATTATGATATATTCAAATGGGTTTGAGAAAATCTATTTCATTCACTCACGATTGGCTCAATTCCAGCTGCAATCAGTCCATCTATTAAGTTACTGTAATGTTCAACACCAATTTGATTTATATTGTTGATCATTCCGTCAGGCAGAATTCTCGTCCATTCCACTGAAAATCTGTAATGATTCACGCCAAGTTGTTTCAACAGCTCGATATCCTCCTTATATTTGTTATAAGAGTCGCAAGCAACGTTACCATTGCTCCCGTCACCAACGAGACTTGTATTCTGTGTATAGTAATCCCAAATGCTAAGTCCTTTTCCGTCCTCATTCCAAGCACCTTCTATCTGATATGCAGAAGTTGCAACCCCGAATTTAAACGAATCGGGGAAGGTATATTTGTTGGAATCTTTCAGGAAATAGGTTTTCCTGAAAAAAAATTATTTATTGATTTTGTTTCAGACCTAATAATTTATTGTTTATATTTAGTTCATCCCAAATCGAATAGTACACATATCTCGACAATATGGGGTAGGAGTAAACAGGGAATAGAATATAATAGAACAGAATATAATAGAATTCTATTCATATGTCAATGGGATAAATAGTATATACATTAAAATCAATGTAACACAATACACTCAAAATAAATACATAAGAATTGTTGTATAAAAATATATCTATTATTAGACATGCAACAAATTTGTTGATGAGTCGAAATAATCAAAATATTCTTCGAATGTGTAAAAGAATATTCTTAATTTTAATTTCAAAAGTGTTCATACTCATGTCCAAAGTCTGAAACTCATATGGCAACACGTTAAAAAAATTCCAAGATATATATAATAATAATAAT